TGTGTGGTAGAATTCACCTGTGAAGCTGTCTGGTCCTGGACTTTGGTTTGTTGGAAGTTGATTACTGCTTCAATTTTGTTACTCGTAATTGGCCTATTCAGATTTTGTTTCTTTCTGGTTCAGTCTTGGAAGGTGGTATGTTTTAAAAATGTATCCAGGGCCGGCCAATTGGCTCATTGGTTAAGAGTTGGCTTGGGAGCACAAGCTCTGAGCAGCGGGGCTGCTGGTTCAGATCCCAGATGGGCCAGTGACGATGCGCCCTCTACAGCTAAGATGGTGAACAACAGCTCGACCTGGAACTGGGCTGCCGCGAGCTATTGTTGAGTGGCTGGCAGCCAGTGTGAGCGGCTGTGAGACTCTCTGAGCGGCCGTCCAATGGCTGGTGACCGATCTGCCTCAGCCGGGAAGAGCACAATGATCACAATACCAACATGGGCCAGTGAAGCGACATCCTCCACAACTAGACTGAAGAACAAAAGGACAGCAACTTGTCTGTTCCCTCCCCCAATTCCCCAATTAAAAAAAAATGTATCTGTTTCTTCAAGGTTGTTCAATGTATTGGCATATAATTTTTCATAGTATTCTTTTATGATCCTTTGTATTTCTGTGGTGTCATTTGTAACTTCTCTTTCATTTCTGATTTTATTTATTGGGCTCTCTTTTTCTTGATGAATCTGGCTGGAGGTTTGTCAATTTTATTTATCCTTTCATAGAACCAGCTTTTAGTTTCATTGATTTTTCCTACTGCTTTTTAGTTTGTTTCATTTATTTCTGTTCTGATCTTTATTATTTCCTTCCACTTACTTTGGCTTTTGTTTTTATTTTTCTAATTCCTTTAGATGTCAAGTTAGATTGTTTGAGATTTTACCTGTTTCTTGAAGTGGGCCTGTATACTATGAACTGCTTTTGCTATATCCCATAACTTTTGGAAAGTTGTATTTTCATTTTCATTTGTCTCAAGGCAGTGTTTGATTTCCTGTTTGATTCACTGCTTGATTAGTAGCATATTGTTTGATCTGCACGTATTTGTTTTTCCTAGTTTCCTTCCTATAATTGATTTCTAGAGTCATGCAATTGTAGTCAGAAAATGTGCTTGATATAGTTTTAATCTTGAATTTGTTGAGGCTTGTTTTGTGGTCTGTCCTGGAAAATGTTCCATGTGCACTTGAGAAAAATATGTATTCTGCAGTTTGCAGATGAAATGTTCTATGTGTCTATTCAATTTGACATTTAAAGCCATAATTTCCTTATTTATTTTCTGTCTAGATGATCTATCCATTGAAGTAAGTGTGGTATTAAAGTCCCCAACTAATATTGTTTTACTGTGAACTTCTGCCTTTGTGTCCTTAATATGTTTTATATACTTAAGTTCTCCTATGTTGGTTCTATAGATATTTACAATTATTATATCCCCTTTTTGGACTGACCCCTTTATCATTACGTAATGTCATTTTTGGGGGATCTCTTTTTACATTCTTTGTTTTAAAGTCTATTTCATCTGAGTGTGGGTACCCAAGCTTTCTTTTCCTTTTTATTTGCATGGAATATCTTTTTCCATCCCTTTACCTGTCAAAATAATATTCAGGTATCTGGACATAGTGGAGATAGCTAAGTGCCTTGCACTGTAGTGTCTGTTTCTTTTAACTATTAATGGGTATGGGTATCATCCTGTTAACCCTCTTCTCCAAAAGCCTTGCTTTTAAGTCATCACCTGGGAAATTACAGAAAATATAAATTCTAAGTTCCCACCCCAGATCTGCTAAATCACAGATCCTGGGGGGTGAGGCTGAGTGACCTGTGTTTTAACAAACACTCAGGCAATTCTGATGCAAGCTCAAGTTTGAGAGTTACTGTTCTAAAATATATAGCAAAGGGTTAAAAGCACCTGATATTAAGCAGAGTGAACGAACTCATCCTGGCTCTTCTAGCCAAATATTTAATACGTCAGGACTCTCCAGTCAGAAAAACAGTATAAAAGCCTTAACATGTTGGAGATGAGGACAAGGGGAGGCAGTCTGAGTCCTTTCAATTTGTCAGTCACTGGCTTTACACGTATGATCCCACTGAATCTTTAAAACAATATATGAGGCTGTTACTATTTTACCAGATGAGTAAACCAAACTCAAAGAGATTAGGTAATTTACTTCGACATAGTGCTACGTAACGGCTGGGATTGGAGTCCCGGTCTAAATGTTTTATTTTTTTTATTGGAGTGTGATAATTCCACATGGACAGGTCATTAGTGGCATAATTCATACAGGGAAAAGGTATCCAAGGTTACTGTGGTTTCGTTCTTCTAAAATAACATAGATCATGTTAACAATGCCCAAGTCATTATTAGTTATTGTGTGTTTCTGACCAAGGTGTGCCACCTTGTACTTAGTCTCAATTTTGTTCATTTTAGGGAAGCACCAGATTATTGCTGGAATATATCTACTGTGAGATTGGAATCCGTTCAGTCAGTGTTTTACATTTAACTAGAGGCAAGTGACTTAAGCTTGCTCGGGCTTATTTCCTTTTCCTTTGGACTATCATTTTTATCCCCATCTGAAGAGTTATTAATCCAAACCAACCCAATCTGTTTATAACCTGCAGATTTGGGGTGCAACCAATTTGCCCCTCTAGTCAACTCCTGAATGAATATCCTCCATCAATATAGGCCAATGGCAACTTCTCTCAGAAACTCCCAACCAACGCCCACCCAAGCCCTTCAGAAATAATGTTAAACCCTCCAAACCAGATAAAAATCATGGCCTAAACAGACCTTTTCAGCTTGTTAATCAGAGTACCTTGTAGTATCCATTCTTACCCTGTTATTAATTCTAGAATTTGTAGAATTGTTGAACCAAATTAAAAAAATAAACTCGGCTGTAAGCTCTCAATTAGCTGCACCACTGGAGAGGAACAGTGACGTGGCAGATTTTAAAATGTTGTTCTATTTGGCTTTGGAATGCATGATTATTTTTTCAGTAGATTTACTTCTCTAATTATGTTTTGCACAGCCTAATATTAACTGGCATTTGTATTCCCTGAGCACATAACATCTAACATTGTGAATTGGGGGACACAGTAGAGGCAATCCAAAAATGTGCTGGTCTCAGGGAATGACAATGTTGTTATGGCAAATCCACACATGGATAATGAAGAGAGAACTAATTATAAAGTGTTCTGCAAATATTAAACCATAAGCAGAGAAGGCAAATTAGGAATTCTCTGTGGACATATAAACAGAGAGTTAAAAAAAAGCTTATTAAAATTCTAAAAGGGACAGAAACTTTCAAGAGTCATCTTTAGTATTAATGGAGCCTGATGAAAAGATTAGGCTGCAAGGAGGGTCAGTCAAGGAGTTACTGAGTGGTCTTTCGAATAAGAAAACCTCAAGCAATAATACCAATGCATTTTAAAAGAGCGTTTAAAATGAATTTTATTGTTTGAATTTTACAAGTAGTCTTTAAAGGCTTCAAACAAGAACTCTGTTGCAAAACTCTAATAAATAGCTTGCCCCAAGTCCCCAGACAAAATGTAAAACAAAATAAAAATTAAACTCAGAAGGATAAGCAAGGCTTCAGAATGCTTGGGTGTTAGTGATATTTCTCATTTACAAAGAGATATCAGGCAATGTACAACCTCCCTCATGTAAGTCAAACAGAGAAAGAGACAATTGAGATCTTTACAAAGCACTCTGAAATCTTCCTATTTCCATGATAGAAATGTCACCAGAAAAAAAAAATCCCATGGAGAAATCACAATCATGGATGAAACAAGAGCATAAAAATCTGGTGGTGGCAGTGAGGGGAGAAGAGAGGAAAATCCATCCTGTTTTTCAGGGATGAAGACAGGAAAAGAGTCGGGATTACTTGGGGCAGGGAACATCCAAGCAGATGACAGTAGATTGCTGAACGCTCCCCCTTAGACCAGAGCTGCCACTGAGAGGGCACAGGTGTCAGTTTAGTGACAATTATGAAGGCTAGAAATGGGGCCACCAGGGGCTCCCCTGGGGCCCCTCAACACTGGTGCATCCAGTGTCTGTGCTCTGCAGGACTGAGGGCCTTGAACAACGGGCCAGGGCCCCAAAGCAGCTGTATCACTAGACAGGAAAAATAGCACATCAACCATTTCTGCAGCAAAATCCTTTGGATGGCCACAAAAGGATGCAGAAAATGCCGTGCTTAAATTGCACAGAAGGACATGCAGGTTTCAAAAGCCCATTCCATTATCACAGTCATTGCTCCTAACAAGCAAGTACTAACATTCACAATTTAACATTCATTTTTCCTAGTAATAGATACTGGTGAAATCTTGCTTTGGAGATTAGGGCTTATTAATATGGTCATTCTGAGTGAGGTAAAAAATACAATTTTGCCACGTTTTCATCTTTAAAAATTTCAAACAAAAACCATACTTTTGAGCAAAATGCATTCAAATAATAAGATTTTCGTTTGGAGCCAGGAAGCTGTAGAGAAGCTGATTCCAATTTCGAGGGTGGGACTCACTTAAGCCAAACCAAAAAGGGCTCTGGCTCTGAGAAGCACACAGCACCTGGGACCATCCTCTCCCTAAGGAAAGGAAGGAGGGAGTGATGTCACAATGTAGGACTAAAAAGGGGCGTGGCTCACAGGCACTCTCTCTTTTCTCTCTGGTTCGCTGACTTGCTGTTGTTAAATAACCCGATCCTGCTAATCTCTGTAACAGGTACAAACAGCCCAGCTCACGCACAAGTCATTCAAGGAGGTAGGCATTTTCTAAAACTACCTCCCTCCCAGGCATTTTAGGAATGAAGGTAAGGAAATCTCCCTCCCCAAATAAACAATTTTTAAAAACTTTTATTTTCCTAGGAACAATGACATTTGTCAGGATAATGAGGGAAAGCTTGGGTTACCTGAAAAAGTTAAGAAAGAGCTGATGGAAATAGAGGCAGATGGGCAGGGGGCGGGGGGCCGACCCTGGTCCTAGGCCCAGTTTCTTTTTAAATACGTAACAGATAAAGATATTGTGCAAAAAAATAAAGACATTCACATTTTAGCAGTTAAACTTTTATTTTACTTTTTAAAATTTTTACTTTTTTTCTTTTCTACAAAAGGCAGATAATGATTGTTGATCTGCAATTGCTGTGCGCTCCTGGAAAGAGGGCAAGCAGGAAGCTGAGGAGGTTGCTCTGAGAATGTGCTCAATGGCGTGACTAAGGGGCTTCCCAGCCTCACTCAGAGGCTCCCGGGTCCCTCTCTCCTGTCCACCTCGGCCTGCCCTAGCTCATGTCTATGGTATTGAAGACCCACTCGGTGAACTTCTTCAGCTTGTCGGAGGCGTTCTGGGACTCCTCCTGCAGCCTCAGGTTGTCCTCTCGCAAGTGCTGAACTTCCGCCTGAAGGTGGGCTTTGTCTTCCTTTTCCTGGGAGGTAGAGCAGAGTAGAAAAGGGCTAAGAGGGATGGCCCCACCTCGCTGGGCTGCTAGGAGGAGTGTCTATGGATCTGTCTGGACCCTTTGCCCATCCCCCTTCTTCATTCTACTAAACATCTGTGTACAAGGCCTGCTCCTGGATGTTCAGATACTCTAACCCCAGAGTGATTCGTTATATAGAGGCTTATTTTGGAATGTACATACTTTCATGTATATTTTAATGTCTTTGTTAATAAGGACTGGTAAATTTGGGGCTATTGTTTTGGTGGCTGTTGTCTTAATATAGTCAAAGCCACTCAAGAAACAAAACAAGATGCAGGCTCGGCAGAAAGCCCAAATAACAATGACGACGTGTGGGTCTAAGCTATCGACCCCATTATACAAGGCGTTGGGAGGCCAGGAGGCTGGCCGAGGTTCAAAGGCTTCCACAACAAGGGAACAATGAAGGCCTTTCTTGCATTATTGTGTCAATGAGAACTGAGCTCCAAGCACATGTGCACGCTGAGAAAATAAGGGAAAACACCCACATCTTATTCCACTAACACTACAGTTAGTGGAGCTCTCACAGTTCAAGGGCAGTTTGCACAGACCGGGCAGTTTACTTTAAGAATATGTGTTTTTACCTTCTTCAAATCTTCCCGAAGCATCTTCAACATCCCTTCCAGCTGGTCCACTTTGGAAGCCAGAGTGGGAGAGGAGTCTTTACTGCTGGGAACAAGAAACAAAAGCCCACGTTGGTGGGAGCCTCCAAGGCTGGGTTCGTTTGGCATTTGTTTTTAATGAGGAAGATGTGTTTGTAAAATAGTTTTCAATGTGCATTTGTGATATTAAAAAAGAAAATGGTCATTTTAACAAAAGATTATACAAGTGTAAACTATAGCCAATCAGTAGCTTCCTTTGTTAAAGATACTGTATTTTTATCACAAAAGAATATAGGACAATAAGTGACAATGGTTTCTTTGACGGCACAAGAGGTACTTTCTGGTAGACACGACTGTCAAACAATGAAATGATTCCTATGTCTTTAGTGGCTTTAAGAAGAGGAAAGCAAGCTCCACCTTGGGGTGACCAGGACAGCGCAGGTCTCTGGCTCCCCAGGAAGTAGCCTGTGGCCACCCATCCAGTTGCAGCTAGTGATCGTGCTCTTGTCTTAAAAACTAGTCTAAATATCTTAAAATATTTTTAAAAATCAGATTCCAGGTTTCAAAAGCTTGCCAGTCCAACCTTAATGTCTTAAATTCTTTCCTATTATGATCAGCAAGCTAGGCCCACAATCTTCTTATTTTCTCCCACTTTACTTCTGCATTAATAATGCCATGCTAGAAGAGTGCCCAAAGCAGGGTGAGCTACAGGATGAGAAGGCCACCCTACCGGCTCCACCTATGACACGGCTGGGCAAAGGCTGAAGACCCTTGTCAACTATCCTTCCCCCCATCTCCTTGACCTGAATTCAAGCTGTGGAAAGTTTGAGACTTCCAGCTGGGCACAACCCTCAAAGCTATGCAACCGAGAATCTAAAGCCTTCCACTGGAGTAACAGGCAGCTGCCTCTTTCCAGAGGTCAAAGGGGAAGAGGCAGTGATTCTGAATTATTGGAATCCTGGAATAAGAGGTATTCTTTACTTTAAAAATCAAAGTTCAGGTTAGAATTCCCGACCTACAACGAGCTGTGTTGATGTCTTCTGCTAATTCTAGGTCTACAACAAACCCAAAAGGTAAAATGCACGGTGGCACAAAGGCTGCAAATAAATGAAATGATACAATCTTCAAACATTTAAGACGACAACCAATTACAAGCTGACAATAAAATGGATTTTAAAAGGTAAGTGATCAGTGATGATCCACAGCCACATGTGGTCCAACAAGCTGCTCAGATTTGGATGGGTTGAATGCCAAAGAGGTGGCAGAATAAGTGTGGTGCTGAACAGAATACGTGTGGTGCTGGATGGGGAGTGGGGGTCTCCTTCACGAGACACCGAGCCCACTCGCAGCTCCTGGCAGGGCTGATGCAGTCACACAGGTTGTCAGGACTGAAGCAACTTTTAGTAGCTTATCTTGACTTCTGGAGGTTTTCAAAATGAATTCTGTGTCTGTGTGTGCACTGATAGTTTTTCAAAACATATATAACTCCATTTGCATTTGTTCATCCACACTGAACAAAGAGCCAATCATCACCATTGTGATGTCTTATGATTCTATAAAGGTTTAAAAACTAAGAAATAATCCTTTCTTAGGAAAATGGACTTTGCTCACGCAGAATCTCTTTGTTAGAGACCTCATCCCAAGAAGATACATTTTGGGCTGCACCCCACCCCAACTCTGCAATTCTTTTTTCTTTTTTTAAGTTCTCAGCAGCCAAACTAACTGCCACTCTCCAGCTGTCCCAATGGTCAGAGTGAATGCAGAATCTATTGGTTACACTCATGAAAAATGATCCACTACTTCTGTAGTTTCTGTACAAATAGTGTTTCCTTGCAGACTTGCTCCGAAATGTCCTCAAGCACAAACCATAGTACATTGGGTGATCTACACCACTCTCACTTGCCTGTTAGTTGTCTGTTTCTGACCAAGTTTTACAGATACCTGGATTCTTGATCATCTTCAAAGGGTTTTAAGGGAAGAGGATTCAAATGGATGAGATTATTCTGAATCAAAGAGTGCTTACTCCAAGTTCCAAGGCTGACCCCTAGGATGCTCTAATATACAGTTAGTCCCCACTGCAAGTTGCAGAGCCTATCAATGACGTGTAACAACCAACCAATTTTACCACAGGCTAACTGACATAACCAAGAGTTCAGTTCCTATAGCACCTCATAACGAAACGTTATTCAAGGTCCTGCAGTATAGTAATATCACACACATATCCAATATTTTCACCACATGAAACTGAGGGGAAAATGAAAAAAGTCAGCCTCTGCACAGTTAAACAGAAGTCAAAGTCCACGTTCTTAACTCACAAGAAAACCCTCTGGTTATTGCTCATGTATTTTACATACAATCTTAACTATCCTGGTGACCCACATCTAATGCAGATTTGAAGTAGCATGTTGGAGCTGCTAAGCAGGCCCATTTGCAAGATGGCCAACTAAGAGATGGGGAACAGACTCAAAAACCAGTCTCACAGGAATCGGGGGATGTTTTAGTGCAAATGAGTTTTGTTACCTTACCTAATAAGCCCTGAGGGCATAAATGTATTATGGCATTAAATAACAATGAATATTCATAATTACGACTTTACGTCATCAAGGCTGGTTTAATTGCATTTACACTATTTAGTTACAAAGTGTTCTAACTAAAATGTGAAGTGCCTGGCACTGCGGGGATTCAGCTAATCCCCATGGCCTCCATCTTCCCCTTCCCCATCTGCTGGCACTAGTGTAGGTGATGCGGTGCAGAGTGGTGACCTCACCATTGGGTGACCAACCTGCTGTAAGACTTCATCTGGGCCAGAGCCTGGTCCTCAAGCTGGTCACTGTTGGATGCAGCACTCAAGGGGCGATGGTTCTCATCACTAGCAGCAAAGAATGAGGCTCTCTGGACTGGAAAGGAGATTAAGACACCATTCAATATTTTGGAACTGTGTCCTGAGCCCTATCTATCAAGCCACCAAATGGCCACAGTGACAGTCATTTATCTAATCAGCGTGCAGGGAAGCATCAGAGCCCCCATGGGAAGAAATTATTCTGTGGTTAGCTGTAAGAGGACAGGGGCATTGTAATTTCCCTTAAAAAATAGTTGTTGTGAATCAATTTTTTAGTCCTCCTTTTCTCTTGCTCATCAAAGGAGCATTCTGTTAAACGTTTCCCTGGAAACAGGCCTTGTGCCAAACTTCCCAGACCAAGGCTTTCCACTCAGTGATGATATAAAATGCATTAAAGAGCTGGTATTAAGCTTCTTGAGACTTGAAGTATGTTTTCCACGAGACGCCTGGGTACCCTGGTGGGCTTTAGCCTACGTCCACAACACGGGTGCTTCAAAATATACCAACTGAAAACTTGAGCCAAAAAATACCAAAATTAAATTTAAAGAAAACTGCCATTAAAAACACAAAACTTATACCATTTTATACACAGGAGAGTGACCAATAAACTGAAATTTAAAATCAAGTTAGTATTGGGAAATTGCCTGCGAAAATGGGGATTCCTTGTTGACTGCTTCAAGGTTGCCAAACTGAATTCTGTGGCCGAATCAATTTCTCCCGAAAATTTAAGCTTGACTGAATAGCCACTTTCCATTCTTCAAGAGCAATAACAACAAATAAGAACCCCCCAAACAAATCATCTGCTGTCATCTTCATTTTAGGAAGAACTACTTTACACCAAAAAATTTGGAGTGATAATCTTAGAATAAGTCAATCTAGTCCAAAAAAAGGCACTTGACAGCCTTATGTCAACACACAAGACAGCATTACTTTTAGTTTTTCAGATTTCAGCAAACGAGATCAGCAGCAGTCTAAGGACCTGCAATTAAGAACCACTGGCCTGGAGCAAGCACACAGCCAGTGGATGGGCCCAGGAACACTACGGACAGGAAATGTGCTGCCATACATGGGAGAGGTGGATGAGAAGGCCAAGGGGAGCGCCCAACATTTACCAGGACCAGGGCGGGGCGAGCATCGTAACAGATCCAACTGTGCATTTAGCAACCACATCTTTACGACGCTATGAGAGACCGTGTTCTTTTCAATCAAGGGACAGCGCCAGTCCTTCCCATATACGGGGAGGTGAAGCATCCATGTTATGAATCCCTGTGTAGAGGAAACACCAGGTTCCATCTGATTAAGTCAGGTGCTATGTGCCCCTGCTGGCCGGCTCAATAACTATTAGCTCAACTCATTTCTGGTTATGCCAGTGAAGGGCATGTACTGTCAGTGTGTCCGAAGAAGCTGAGCGAACAGACGTGACCAGAGCCCTCACACGGCCCACACCTCAGAGTGGCCCTGCCCGGGACTGTGCTGTCTGCTCGGGTCTTCAGTGGACTCACCCTCATAGGCCTTGGCGGCATCCACCAAGTTGGACCAATCCAAATCGGCAGCAGAATCGGGCAGGGGCATCAGGCCGGGGTCGGGCATGGGCCTTCGGGTCTCCTGGACGTCAGTGAGGGAGCTGTCCGAGGCCGAGAACTCTCCTACAGGAAGAGACGAAGGATAAGACACTTCTCATGCCCACAGGAGAACCACGCACGGCCTTGATCATTTCCTGTCACCATAATAGAGCTGGAAGTCATTCATCACCTAGAATCAGTTTCTAGCCTAGCTGGCCATGCCATTCTATAGCTGAGGTGAACTATGAATTGGCTTCCTCCAGTCTTAAGTCTTTCCTTTCTTTCTTCCCTTTTTTTTTTTTTTTAAAGATTTTATTGGGGAATTGGGGGAGGGGAACAGACAAGTTGCTGTCCTTTTGTTCTTCAGTCTAGTTATGGAGGACGTTGCTTCACTGGCCCATGTTGGTATTATCATTGCGCTCTTCCCAGGTGAGGCAGTTGCTTGCCAGCCATTGGACGGCCGCTCACGGTGGCTCATGAAAGCTCATGCCTGCAGCCTACTCTGTCACCAGCGACTCACAGCAGCTCAGCTCCAAGTCGAGCTGTTGTTCACCATCTTAGCTGTAGAGGGCGCAGCGTCACTGGCCCTCACGTGGGATCCAAACCGGGGCTCTGCTGCTCAGAACTGGCATTCCAAGCCAACTCCTAACCAACGCGCCACTCGGCTGGCCCTCTTTCTTTTCTTTTCTTTTTTTTTTTAAATAGCCTCCCACTATCTCATTTCTAGTCGTGTGAGTCATGGAAAAGTTACTTTTGCACGGAGGCAACATGTCTGCTTTTGAAGGAGCTCTTTGTCTACAGTGGGTTCCAGGGCCGCTCCAGCATCACAGAGTGAAAGGATTCAGGCTGGATAAAGAGGCCTTCTCTTTCCCAAGGACACGAAAAGCAACTCTTGGGGTCAGTTTTGGATTGTAGCAGTCGAATATCCTGAGCTCCTTCTAAGGTAACAATTTTTTAAATACAAATATTAAGTCATCCTAGGAACAAAACTTTGCTTCGCCGGGGCAGGGAGGAACGATGCAGTGAGCCACTCTACGCCATATGAGGGCACGCTGCTACTGCTCAAGTTCATGTAGGCAGAGGACAGGGAGGGAGGGCTGAGGGGGCTCATTAAATGTATGTAAATGCTCTCCAGGGGGCAGAAGCTGGGGTGGAAACAAGGGCGGAGTGTGCAAGTTCATCAGAAGGGCCACCCTCAGGATGTGACTGTGACACTGAAATCCATGCGAAACAGAATCAGAGGTGAAGCTCTCAGTGAAAATCTGTAAGCAACTCCAGAAATGCCTGTTTACAAGGAGTTAAAAAGTTTCATCAATTATGAGAGCCTGGTATATTTAGTGCTTGTTTTCCCTTTCAAATGATATACAGAGCTGCTCTGGAAGTGCAGCTGCCAGTTACTAATGTGCTTAAAATTAGCAAAATTATGAGTAAATGGAAATCAACAAATACTGCCAGATATTAAACGCTCAGTTCTATTTAAACTTGCTCCCACCAAGGGTAAGTAGGTGGAACAGGCAATTTTAGGGGTCACAACCCTTCTGCCCTTTTATCTGTGGGGCTCACATTTCCATATGGGGAAAAAGAAGTCATCTCTCCCGTCACCTAAACACATTTCAGTGGCATTCACGCCAAACGAAGCGGGGCTGAGGGATCAGGCCAGCAAGGATTGCTCAGTTTAGGACATGAGATCACCGTGCTGCTGCCTGACTTTCAGGAAAGCAAAGGTGAGCTCAGAGAGGGCAGCTCCTTCCTTCCCTCCTCAGGGCCCAGCCTTTAACCCCAGGCTTCCTCTGCTGAACAGCGACTGCGTGGGGGGGTCTGGGCTGCTCTCTTAGAATGTAAGCTTCTAGAAGACAGGGCCGATGTTGCCATGACACATGCAGAGATGGCTTCACAAAGGGTTTGTTTTTATTGCTGCAAAGGTTAAAAAAAGTACAGGGAAGTGAGAAAAGCATTCAAGGTAGACAGGAAGTTGTAGGAGCAATGGAACTCAGGGGAGTGTGGCCCCCATGTGGGGACAAAAAGGGAGAGAAAGTTTATGGCGTATTAGGTCACTACCAGGAGTTTTTTCCCTAGCATCTGGATGGTAAAACGTGGGCATTTTACGTGTTAAGTTTAGTTCTTTGGGGGTGACCTCCTGGAGCGAAGAGAAACCTAATTCAAGCTGCAGTTGGATGAGGGGGTGGGGAAGGGGAGGCTGGCATGATCCTTGAGTAATGTCTGCCACGGGTGAGAAGGGGGGAATGGGGACAGTGCGCAGGATGGAGATGATGGAGGTATAGTCATGAGAGTAGGTTGAGAGCTCACAACTAACGCAGGGAGAAAGCAAGTTAGGCAAGCAGCAGGTTTATAGAAAATACTGCTCTGAGAGGCAGCAGAAGAAAAAGACATGTGGGTCTGAATGAGCACAAAATTCCCAGACAAAAAGGGGGAAGGGAAGTGGGTTTACAGCCATATGTATAATAAATAAGCAGGAACATAGGTTCCATAACAGGAATCTGTCGTGCTGGGTCATAGCAGGGAGGGTAGGTACAAAAGACAACCCTGGAATGGAGCAGGACACAGAGAAGAGAAAGGAAAAGGGCAAACTTAAATCCATAGTCACAGAATACGGCTCTTAATAAAATTGGGATCTAATTAGGTCACAGAGCAAACAAAGCATTCATGACCCAAAGGCAAAAACATGGAGGCGCCTTGTTCCTAAAATAATACGCCTTTCCCTAAAATAATGCTTGCTTGCCCACTGAGTGAACGAACGAACGAGTCAACAAATGAGTGGCTGACACCACAGGCAATATCCTCACATCCTTGGAAAGACAGAGAACAATGGCAAGCCTGGGTTCTTATGTGACTGGAGGGAACCAGTGGCTACAATCTCTAAGAAATAACTAATCTAGTCTTAGCCAAATTTAGCCATAATAGCAGCAGCTGGGATGTTTAGTGAAAGTACTAATTCCCAAAATACACCTTTGTATTCAAATTCAAATTCAGGTCTTGGGGAAGGTCTGGAAATCTCTATTGTTAACATAGTAGGTTTGATAGGGGAGCATTTCCTCGCATCCAGTGCCCCAGTTTTTGCGGCTATAGCTCAAAGGATTGGCTCTGGTGGCCAGGGGGACTTGCATCCCTGGGCCCCATGGGACTGCAACGATCAGAGAGATAGTTCTTGGTATTATATCATCACTAGGACACTGCACAGACAGCAGATTGAAACAAACTCCAGTGTTTCTGTGAAAGGAGATTCTTTCTTGTTCTGGAGCTTTGGCCTGGGGGCTGGCTTCAAGTTTGGCATTCAACTAGGGGCTGGCCCATGAAGGGGCTTCTCAGGAAACAGAGGCCAATAGATGCCATATTTGCTGTCTTCCTCTGCCTCACTCCAGCTCATCAGTATCTCCCAGAAGGAAGCTTATCCACTCATATGGCATCCCGATTTTGTGACACATTTAGATTGCCTGGTTCTGATGACCAGCAGGGCTTAAGCCTGTGGTACCACAGGACAATACATATTTGCATACTTTAAAAGCTGCTGTCAAGAGGATCTGGCTTCCAATCAGCCTGAATCTAAGTCGCGACTGAGATTCTCCCTCTGGGATACTTACAGGTCTTAGCACACCTCAACTATAGGGAGTCACTAAAAATAAAGTTGGCTGTTTGGATACCACAGAAGTCTGAGAGAAAAGCAAAGAGCTAGGGCAGGGGTAAACGATAAAGTTCATGCCTTACATGAGGCCACTCCTTCAAGACTGGAAGAGGAGGCTGTTTCATCTAATGCATAGAAAGCTGTACAGAGTGTCAAGGAAAATGAAGAAACAGAAGAATACGTTCCAAATGAAAACACTAGATAAAAACCTCAGAAAAAAAATCTTACTAAAATGAAGGTAAGTTATTTAACCTGATAAAAAGTTAAAAATAATGGTCATAAAGTTGCTCACAGAGCTTGGGAGAAGACAGATGAACAAAGTGAGCATTTCAACAAAGAGACAGAAAATATAAGAAAGTATTGCATAGATGTCACAGAGCTGAAGAACACAATAACTGAACTGAAAAATAATGGAGGGGTTCAACAGCAGACTAGATGAAGCAGAAAAAAGGACCAGTAAACTTGAAGAAAGAACAATAGAACTCAATTAGAGCAGCAAAAAGGAAAAAAAAACCCCCAAAACAGTGAAGATAACTGAAGGGACTTATGGGACAACATCAAGTGGACCAACATTCACATTATAAGAGTCCTGGAAGGAAAGAAGAGAAAGAAGGCGGGGGGGGGGGGGGACGACGACAGATATCCAGATCCAAAAAGTCTTGTGAGTTCCAAATAAGATAAACCCAAATGGAACCATACCAAAACACATTATAATCAAAATGTGAAAAGTTTAAGACAAGGAGCAAGAGAAAAATAACTTGTTAGGTACAGGGGAGCCCTCATAAGGCTCTGAGCAGATTTTCTAGCAGCAATTTTGCAGGCCAGAAAGCAATGCCAAGATATATTCAGTCCTGAACAAAGAAAACTTCCAATCAAGAATACACTACCTAGTGAAGTTATCAAAGTATAAATCTAACTGGAAAAGGTAAATATATAGTAAAGATGGTCAATTGATCACTTATAAAGCCAGGATGAAGGTTAAAAGACAAAAATAGTAAAAATAACTATAACTACAATAATTTACTAAGGGATACACAAGATAAAAAGATGTGATGTCAAAAACATAAACTGTTGGGCTGGCCGAGTGGCTCAGTTGGTTAAGAGTTAGCTTAAGAGCGCAAGCTCTGAGCAACAGGACTGCCGGTTCAATTCCCACATGGGCCAGTGAGCTGCATCTGAGTTGAGCTGCTGCTGAGCTGCCAACAGGTGGCAGGACGGCTCAGGTGGTGAGAGCATGTGCTCCTAACAACAAGGTTGCCTGTTCAATGGTGGACTATGCCCACCCACAACTAAGACTGAACTTGGCACCTTGAGCAGAGCTGCCGCCCGGATGGCCCAGTGGATAGAACGTGCGCTCTTAACAAGGCTGCCAGGTTCGACTCCCTCATGGGATGGTGGCTATGCCCACCTTCAGCTAAGATTGTAACACAGCACCTTGAGCTTT